GCGGTCTCTGGAGAAGCTAGGTCTCTTAACACTTCAGAGCCAGGTGGGTCCCTAAGCTTAAACAGCTCCTGCCCGCAGGAAGCCTCCTTGAGGCTGATAGGGCTAAACAGCCAGGGAGGGAGGAGGGGCACAGAGGGAGTACCTTGAGGTCCAGGCTCCAGGCCAGTGCATGTCCCTCTCCATCCCACAAGCAGAGCTGCCGGTCATGGCCACAGGTGAGGAAGCAGTTCTGGGCGGGGTGGGTGCACAGCCCCCAGAGCTCATCCGTGTGGCCCTGCAGTGGAGCAGAGCACCTGTCACCACTGCCTTCCTGGCAGCCCTGCCCTCAGCCCTGACACCAACCTGAATCACCGGCGAGAAGCCCTGGGCCAGGTCTCCTCTCAGCAGTGCATTCTTTGTGGTTCCCACCAGAAGCTCAGAGCCCGGCCCCTCTGCAATGGCCCGCACAGCGCCAAAGTGCTCTGGGATCTACAGGCAGAAGCAGGTGTCCTGGGCCAGCCTGGGGCCACCCCTCCCCTCCTGGACCTAGACCTGCCCTCACCTCCGCCTCCTGGAGGGCCACCAACCCCTGACCCCACTGCACCAGTCGGCGGTCACGGCCGCCACCACTCAGCACTGTCCCATCCCGCCGGAGGCACAAGGCAAAGATGGAACCTTCATGAGCACGGGCCTGGGCCACGATCCCGTAGGTCTCTGTGGACAGAACCCCAGGAGTCATGATCTTGGGGCACGTGGGTTGGCTTCATAACAAAGTGCAAACGGTACAAAACACTTAGCTATGCTGCCTCTCCAGGATACCACCCCTCATCATCATCCCTCTACGCAGCTGTGCTCCCCATCTTAGAGGGGACAGTAGAGGGGCCCAGAAGTCAAGGTGCATCCAGAAGGCTATGGACCAGTGTCAAACTGACCTCTGACCAGCCCTCCTCCCTCTGCCCCTTCTGGCTCTGCCTCCCTGACTGCAAGCTCCAAGGTGAAAAGACAGCCCCTCCCCTACCCCCATAGCTCCTCCAGGGACAGCTGTCCCCCCACCAGGGCCCACACACCTTTGGCCCCGCCCCTGCCTGGCATTCTGGAATCAGAGAGGCTCCGGCCCCAGGTGAGAATGTTCCCCTCTGAGTCTCCGGTGAGGATGTCCCCATCAGGGAGGAAGACAAAGCAGGGAATGAACTTGGGTTTCTTGTATTTCTGGGGAGTGGGACAGAGGTCAAAGTTAAGGACAACGCGAAGGAGTCACAGGACAACCTAGGGGTTGGGGCATCAGAGCTGTGGGACCTGGCCTCTACGCCTCACCCCAAAGACACCCTGCTTCCGTGCTAGGACACCGTTCCCAGGAGCCCCTGTCCCACCGCTCCAGTTCCAGAAGTGGACGTGAGATTTCCCACTGGTGATGATGCAGCTGCTGTCACGAGGGCTGAAGCCCACAGCCAGGACTGAGTCATTGGTGCTCTGAGGGACGGGAAGACAGGATTCAACCACCACGGCCAAAACCTGGGTCGCCTCTTCGAGGGCAGCCTGACAACTCTGTGCACCGGAACCCCAGCATAGCCCCCACTTCCCAGATGAGGGGAGCAAAATGGAGAGGGAGGGGTCTGCTAGCCCAATGAGAATGTAGGTGATGCCAGATGTTCACACCTTGATCTCTGCCAGCTTGGTTCCCCGGCCACAGTCCCACACGGACAGCATGTGCTCATTGGAGTCATCCACTACACAGAGAAAGGCTCCCTGGTCCTAGGGACACAGGAAGGACCAGTGAGTGCACCAGGGGCAGGGTGCACAGGCACCGGGCAAGGGGCATATGAAGTGATGCAGGTCCACCTCTGGGAGAAGGGTCTGCAGCCAGGAAGGCTGGGAGTGGGGGTTCTGGGGCCCAGGACAGCTTACTGCTACAGAAAAGGCCAGGGAGCCCACACCGCGCTCAAAGGCACCCAGTCCGAGCTCCTGCAACTTAAGCAGTGTCTCTGAGTCCCAGATGTGGACCACTGGCTGCAGGGGCTGTGGAAGAAGACAGGGTCAGAGCAGAGAGGAACCAGGTGCTGGCCACCTGTCTCCAGGTTCCAGCTCTGGCCTTACCTTGCCATCCTTATCCACACCAGCAGTCTGTCCTGAGGCCACCCGAATACCGTCAGGGTGGACAGCAAGGCTGGATGGGAAAGGACAGGGCTGGAGAGATGGCTCAGTGGTCTAAAGCACCTACTTAGAACAAGCTTAGCAAAAGCA